GCCCGGCTATTTTTTGGTTGCAGCCGTCATTGTAGTTTGGCGGGTCCAGGCTGGGGATTTGAACCCGCCACCTTAGGTGTACGTGGCTGGCGCCTTAGCCGGTTGAGCTATAGGCGCCGAGCCAAGTTTCTTTTCAAAAAGCTTAGCCAGCTTAAAATCCCCAGTGCTCAGGGTCTAGACCCTGCCAGTTTGGGCCTTCCCACTCTCCACCGCAGAGCTGGAGACCACAGAGGGCAGCCCCAGGGAGTGCAGGCCCGAGGCGCAGGGGACTCCGCACACAGATGATGGAGGGAGCAAAGCAAAGGGAGGAACAGGGACACATCCCGTCGACATGGTGCAGCCAACAGGAATGGACCAGGTGACGCAAATGAGGCAACAGGTGGCACTAAAAAGAATGAACAGCAGTCCCAGGAAGGAGCAGGATTTGTTAGCAACAGTGTACTTTCAAGAAGTCTTGAAGAGGCAGATTCTAAAATGGAAGTCCTGCTTTACATGTTTGCCACGACCCACCTAAAGCAAATTTTATCAAGTTTAGGGCCTAAGAAAATGGTAACATAATAGGAATAACACTGTTTTCCTTTAATAGCCCTTCATAAAATTCATTATAGAAGAAGAAAGCAGCCCACATGTATTTTCCAGGGAAATCATACAGTCCATGGCTGCCCTGGTAAGATACTCACTGCTTTAACGCATAAGAATGCAATGCCCAGCTCAGCTCACCTGAAGACTACCACACCGGGCATAACCAGCTCTCACTGTGCAAGTTACACAGGAGACTCCCTTTTCACTGGTGAGATGCTCTTCAAGTTCACAAACACTCACACACCCTCAGAAGTTAAGGGTGAAGACGTTAAACTGCTAGTTTTCAAGATTACAGTAGTTAATAGTCAAGAGATGGGGTCTTGCCATGTTGCCTAGGCTGGGTTCAATCAATCCTTTTGCCTCAGCCTCCCAAGTAGCTGGGACTACAGGCACAAGCTACCATGCCCAGTTCATTTAAAGTATCTTGGGAGTTTTGTATATAAAGATTTGTGTTATCCACAATTAAGACACACATCTCTGCTTAGCTGAGCCAGTGTTATAAGCCATATTTCTTTTATGAAACCTCATTAATACTTTCTAATTAAAGAGAAAGGAAGCTAGTTCTTTAGAGTCTAACCACCCCTCAGGGACAGGAGAGCTCACAAGTACAAGTCAAGGTATACCCTGTGCGCCGTCCTGGTCTTCCACAGCCTCACTCTGAGGTCTGCACACTGCAGCGGGTTCACTGAAAACATCTGTGTTCTCAGCAGGAACTGTCTTCAAATCTGTTATTGGTGCCTGGTCTTCCAAGATCTCTTCTGCGGCCTTTGCTGGTCCTCCTATTCCCTGCGTTCTCGGGTGTTTGTTTCTGAGCAGGGGGGAGGCTGCCTTCCCATTAAGCTCTGGCACTGGTTTTTCCAGATGACTCTCTCCAGCCCCAGGAGTGGCTTGGAGCTGCCCCTTCACTCTAGCTTCCTCTGTCAACAGGGTGAGCGCTGGGCCATGGTCCAGCTGTGCAGACAGTCCTGATTTTGCGTGGTCAGGGAAGATTCCTTTACCGTCACACGGCTTTTGGCTTTCTTTGTCTGTCTCGTTTGATCTAAATACTTTCTGCAATTGCTTTTCCTCCATACCTTGCTTCAGAAACTCTTCATTCACTCGTGACCTGGAAATCCGAGTTTCTGGTTTAGCGTCCTTTCTGTCCTCTGATAGCTGCTTGGTGGCCCCTCTTTTCTCTGGCCGACGGGGCTCTGGACAGGTGGCACCTGTCTGAGGCTTCTGCGGCCCGGTTCTCTCTTTTGCTGATACTGCAGGGTGGGGCACCGTGTTTTCAAGGGCATGAGAGGCTTCTGATTTCCGAAACCCTCTTTTGCTTTTGCTCGCCACTCGAGGACCAACTTCTGAGACGTCACCCTCCTTATCAGACTCTGAATCAGAAGAGCTGGATGAAGACGAATCATCTGTCACTTTCTGGCCCTTCCGACGAGCTTTTGAAGCAGAACCCTGTTTTCTGGATGGAGATGGAACTTTCTGAGGAAACTCGACCAAAGTCTTTCTTGACAACACTTTCGGAAGCCCCTCCTGTGTGAGCAGCATGCTGTCATCGGGGTTAGGGCTAGCTCCCATCCCACCTTTATTCACGACGGATGGGTAAGAATTGGGTGAGGATAAGTTTTTAGACAATTCAGCTGCTGCTTGGGTGGCCAGCAGCCTGCCCTTCTCCTTTGGTGCCACTACATCTAGGAAATGGCATAAAGAAGAATATTTTTAATATTCAATAAAACAACTTAAAATCATTAGTCTAAACCACAGGCATGTCATTACATATCAACTTGTCATTCACAATGTCTTCTCGGTACAACTCGTCCTGGGACAGGTGCCATGGAGACTCCTGCTCAAGTGAGAACCGAGCCCCATGAGTAAGGCAACAGGAGGGAATAGAGACACTTTCCTTGGTAGCTGAAAACCTTAAAAACAAGTATTTTTACTAATAAAAGTAACAAACTTGTTCTCATTTTTCATACTGACAGCATTCATGATAATTATTACTTTTTATTTTTTTAGAGACAAGAGTCTCACTTTATTGCCCTTGGTAGAGTGCTGTGGCATCACAGCTCACAGCAACCTCCAACTCCTGGGTTTAGGCGATTCTCTTGCCTCAGCCTCCCAAGTAGCTGGGACTACAGATGCCCACCACAATGCCTGGCTATTTGGGGTTTTTTTGTAGTTGTTGTTTTAGCAGGCTCTGAATGGATTCGAACCCGCCAGCCTCGGCGTATGTGGCCAGCACCCTACCCACTGAGCCATGGGCACCGCTCCTCAACAGCTTCTAAATCCAGAGCCTTTACGTCTAGTAGTCTATTATATACTAAAAATATCTTACTTCTATCTGTCCCCCAACTGTCCTATCTTAACATATCCAGTTTTTTTTTTTTTTAGAGACAGAGTCTCACTTTGTCACCCTTGGTAGAGTGCTGTGGTGTCATAGCTCACAGCAACCTCCAGCTCATGGGTGTAGGCGATTCTCTTGCCTCAGCCTCCTGATTAGCTGTGCCCACCACAATGCCTAGCTATTTTTTTTCTTGAAGTTTGGCTGGGGCCTGGTTCAAACCTGCCACCCTTGGTATATAGGGCTGGTGCCCTACTCACTAAGCCATAGGTGCTGCCCTAGATGATTCTTTTTTTTTTTTTTTTTTTGCAGTTTTTGGCTAGGGCTAGGTTTGAACCTGCCACCTCTGGCACATGGGGCCAGCACCTTACTCTTTTGAGCCACAGGCACTGCCTTCTTTTTTTTTTTGAGACAGAGTCTTACTATGTCACCCTCAGTAGAGTGCCATGGTGTCATAGCTCACAGCAACCTCCAACTCTTGGGCTTAAGCGATTCTCTTGCCTCAGCCTCTTAAGTAGCTGGGATTATAGGCACCTGCCACAGGGCCTGGCTATTTTTTGTTGCAGTTGTCATTGTTGTTTAGCCAGCCTGGGCCGGGTTTGAACATGCCAGCCTCGGTGTATGTGGCTGTAACCAATGTGCTACGGGCGGTGAGCCTCCAGATGGATTTTTAATTGTTTTCTGAGTTCAGAAACTTATACTTAACAGAATGATCAAAAATGCTAATCAATTCCATGATCCTAGAACTCTGAGAGGCTGAGGAGGGAAGGTCACTTGAGGTAGGAGTTCTAGGCCAGCCTAGGCAGCTTGGTAAGATCCCATCTCAACAAAAAATATTAGCTGGGCATGGTAGCTGGCACACGCCTGTAGTCTCAGCTACTTGGGAGGCTGAGCCAGGAGGATTGCTTAAGCCTAGGAGTGCAAGATTACAATGAACTTTGATCACATCATGGTTGATCACTATACCATGACCACTATACCATGGTTGACCTATGGCACTATAGCCTGGGCAACACAGTAAGACCCTGTCTCTAATTAAAAAAGAAAAAAGAGAAAAAGAAAATGATTAGGGTGGCCCTGTGGCTCAGTGAGTAGGGCACCAGCCCCATATACTGAGGGTGGCAAGTTTGAACCCAGCCCCGGCCAAACTGCAACAAAAAATAGCCAGGCGTTGTGGTGGGCACTTGTACTCCCAGTTACTCAGGAGGCTGAGGCAAGAGAATTGCCTAAGCCCAAGAGCCGGAGGTTGCTATGAGCTGTGACGCCACGGCACTCTACTGAGGGTGACTAGGTGAGACTATGTCTCTTAAAAAAAAAAGAAAGAAAATGATCAAGGGAAACTGAAGAATAGCAAACAACCAGAAATGGGCCAGAGAGCAGTCAACGGGCACTGTAAGAGGCAGGGGCCAGAGCAGTGGGAAGTGTGTAAACACCCCTCCCTCGACCGGCACCCCTCTGAGTCTGCAGCTCTGTGCTGGCCTGGACCCTGCACGGCTCCCTGGAGAGGGCACTGATTCAGGTCACTCTCAGAGCTCACGTGGAGCTTCCAGCCATGTTACACATCAAGTAGGGTACAGGGCAAGGTGCTGTCATGATCTTTCTGACCCTGTCCCTCTAAACCAAACCTGGCACTGCTCAGAAAGGCCCCAGGGTAGCCCTCAGCCCTGACAGCCTGCTCACATGGTCACTAATCTGGTGAGCATGAATTATTTTGAGTATGAATTTTCCAAGTATGAAAAATTAACTTAAAATAAGACTTATCTTAGATCCATTGAATAGAAAAATAGTAACAACTGAGTCTTCCAAAATTTATTGTTGAGATTATTTATTTAGAGACAGAGTCTTACTTTGTTGGCCTTGATAGAGTGCTGTGGCGTGTGGCGTCACAGCTCACAGCAACCTCCAGCTCTTGGGCTTAGGTGATTCTCTTGCCTCAGCCTCCCGAATAGCTGGGACTACAGGCACCCGCCACAATGTCCAGCTATTTTTGTTGCAGTTTGGCCAGGGCTGGGTTTGAACCCACCACCCTAGGTATATGGGGCTGGGGCCCTACCCACCGAGCCACAGGTGCCGCCCTGTAGAGATTTTTTAAATTGTAAAGAATATCAAAATTGCATTACAAGATGGTTTATTACCTACTGAAAACAGAAAATTTGAAATGAGATTAACATTGAAATGACTCAGACATTTTGTTTGAAAAGGAAATGTTTGTCTATCATATGAAATAAGGATTTCCTCTGTTCAAGCCAGTCGTTGGGAGAATCACCGGGAAAGGCTAACAGACAACAGTAACTCACTTTGCTTTCTGCCAAGAGCCAGTTCTGTCCTGCTGCAGCACAGGCCCAGCCTCCTGAGTCTGACTCAGAAGGAAGCTTGCCATGGTGACTGGTAGCTGCCCCAGTAACACCATCCTGGGTGTCCACACCCAGTCTGCATTCAACAGCCCAGAAAACTGTCCCTTGGACGATAACACTTCATATAGACTTACACTGGCCGTGAGTATCAGCAGAACTTTACCCAATCAATTGTTCTCATTCAATGTCTCCCATATGCCTAGAGGCAGGACACCAACACACTCCAACAGTGTTCTGACAGTGGCTTTCCTTTAAAGACAAGCACAATTATCCCTCCACATTTGTTTGATTCTGCATTTGAGGATTCAACCACCTGCTGACTGAGAATATTCAGAAAAAAAAAAAAAACTGTGTCAGCACTGAACACTATAGACTTTCTTGAGTCATTCTTCCCTAAATAACAACTATTTACATTGTATCAGGAATTACAGGAAATCTAGAGATGATTTAAAGTACACAGGAGGATGTCATAGGTTCTCTACGCAAAAGCTGTGTCATTTTACACCTGGGACTCGCACAACTCTGGTATCTGTGGGGAGTCCTGGAACCCAGGGACAACTGTGGAATAAACACGAAGCACCTGCAGGAGACTAGCTGTGCAGGCCTATCTCACAGCATAGGATGGGGACCTGCAGGGACTGTGTCTAACCTCCCAGACACCAGGGCAGCCTCTGTAAGTTACAGGTGCACAAGTGCTGTGCTGATGAATAGCACAGCAGGCGCCCCGGGATTGCGCCCTACCCTTTCAAGACAGAACTTAAATTTTCTGAATCTCTTTTCTGTTTGGCTAAAAAGTGAGAGCACGACCTTCAAGTTTTTAGTGTTTAGTGGTCCCTCTACCAAAAGGAAAAATGACTATGGTGTTAGAAAATGGATTCGTAACCTTAAAATGCTTTATATATTGTTAACAGGAGACAAAACTAAATTGAGAAACAGCACACTCAAAAATAAAGCTGCGTTTACATATAACACCAAAGGATAAAATTACTCAAATTCATATGGTAAGACTTTTTTTTTTGCAATTTTTTTGGCCGGGGCTGGGGGCCAGCACCCTACCTACCCCTTTGAGCCACAGGTGCCACTGGTAAGACTTTTTTTATTAACAAGTATTTGACTGTAAAAGTGTTTTACTGTTTTGTTTTTTAAGTGAGCACATGAGGATTGAGAATTTGCAGAGGGATGGGGGTTACAGTACAAACTGCTGAGCCTGAATGCCTGGGTTCACAGCTGGGCTCCACTGCCCACACCTGAGTGACCGTGGGCTGCTCAGGGTCTTTGCACCTCAACTTCATTGTCCCTAACACGGGGACAGCAGGAGCAGCTACTCTCACAGGACTATCTGAGGCCTGGATTATATGTGGAATGTGTTTAGGACAGGGCGCGACACTGTTACAACTGAACAGCAAGTGTAGACTCCTCACTTTGAAAACTGAAATGAGGGCTGGAAATGGATAACTAACTTTGGCTTTTTGACATACTCTCTCAACAGCCACACAGAAATTACTCAATTATTACCGACTGTCGGAGCGTTCTGCCTAGTGACTGCGTTCAAGGAAACCACAAAGCTAGAGAGCCAGGCGGCTCCCCCAGAGGGTGTCTTTCTGATGACACCGGCCCCTGACATCTGCGCTGGCAGTGGTCCTCAGGGAGGAGGCATGTGCTGCAGCAGCCGGGAACCTCTCGCTAAATAAGGCAGGGTACATTCTGCAGATCCAGGGCCTGCACAGATGGCAGACCCTTTGGCCAGTGTGACCCCAACTGTGAGCGCCTCGGGCCTCCCGCCTGCCTGCAGGACACTTCTGTCAGAGCTTCCAAAGACAGCTCTGGTCTAGAGGGCTCTGACCTGGCAGTGCCATGTGTCATCACCTGAGAAGACAGAGCCTGCCTGTGTCCATAATTCATTATTTCCTTTTCTTTGTACTTATTTAAAATTATGAGATTCCAATGTATGTGCACTGAAGACAGTTTAGCTTTAGAAACTGTCTTCCCACTTGAAAGTACTCTGTGATTTATGCCACACAACAACCCAGCCAGGCCAGCACACCCTGGCCTTGCTCAGTCACAAAGGAACCAAGGCTCAGAGGTCTGAGCGTCCACCACAACCGGATGCAGAGACTCCATGAAAGCCCAAGGCCAACCCCCAGCTCAGCATTCCCCTCGAATAACCTCACCCCAAATTGTCACAGGATAGAACACCCCATTTCTACTCCATACAGATATGTTTCTAAAACTCTCGGGCTCTGCCAAGATACTTTAAGATCCATCTAATGGAAATTCTTTTACTTTTTTTTTTTTGAGACAGGGCCTCAAGCTGTCCCCCTGGGTAGAGTGCTATGGCTTCACTGCTCACAGCAACCTCCAACTCCTGGGCTCAAGCGAGTCTCCTGCCTCCGCCTCCC